ATTTAAAATATCTGATTAAAAACCCGCAAATATACAGGTCCTAGTAAATGGATTAAGAAAACTAAATAGATCGGCGAGATGTCGCCACGTGGTTAATCATGGCAGTGGTCGAGATTACTACTGAAAAGATGAAGTTTTTAAAGGTTAAGCTGAAAGAGGCTCAAGACTGGCAAAAGAGTTATGCCGATAAGCGCTATAAAGACTTAGAGTCAGTGTGGGTGACCTGGTTTATCTGAAGGCTATGAACTAGAAAGGGAAAAGCCGAGCATTGTTTGATGCTAAGTTGAGTCCGAGGTACATGAGATCGTACCAGATTCTGGAAAGAATTGGAGCAGTGACGTATAAGTTGGACTTACCGCCGGAAATGAATGCGTACCACGATGTGTTTTATGCGTCACAGCTGGGAAAGCACATGACCGAACGTGAGAATGTTATATCTGAACCACCTCCGGAGCTGCAAGAGGATCTAACCGTGGAAGGTAAACCGATCCGTGTGGTTGGCCAGAAGGAAAAGTTAAGCGTGGTAAAGTGGTCAAGATGATCAAAGTTATCTGGGACTGTAATAGCAATGAGCAAACTACTTGGGAAATAGAGTCAAGGATGAGTACAATGTTTCTGAAATGGTTTGAGAAACTTCCGGAAGAAGTATCGGATTCGAGGACGAATCCAAACTGAGTGAGGGAGAGTTGGACCAGAAATCCTGATTTTGGTCGAGAGGTCATGGGATGGCCGTTGTATTTATGTTTTGCTCGAGTGAGGTTAGTTCGTGTCTGGGATAAATGACTGTACAGTGACAGTGTCTGTGAGAAATGGACGGTATCATGGCTTTGGCCAAGTGAAAATGTTTGAGCCGAGTAAATATAGTGGAAACTGTCGAGAAATTGTCTAAGTGTCGAGAGACAAAGGTGCTGGGCCGTGGGCCGTGGGTTTACTCGAGAGAAATTGGGATTATCCTAGGCTAAAAAGAATTTATCACGGTAATAGCCAAGCGGTTCGGGTTTTGGCCGAGAGAAAAGGAAAGTTTGGTCGGTTTGGCCGAGAGAACTTAATTTGGACCGAGAGAAAAGTAAACTGCGTGCGATAAGTCTTGACCAGCCGGTTTAACCTTAGGGTTTCCCGTATATAAGTGAGATTTGGTGGATTTCTCACAGTAGGACTAGTTTGATCTTCGTTCATTTCTCCTTTGTTCTTTCATTGTACATTTTGGCTCAGATTGTGGAGAAATTGTTGGAAATCCGAAACTAGTTTGATTGATTTTGTTGTTGTTGTTCCAATGGAGCTTAGAACGAAACTGGGTTTTAGGGTTTCTTCATAATCTGTGAAAAAAATTGTTAATTGGATAGAGTAAGCTCCAGCTAAAGCTTGGGATGCTGTTTATGTTGTTCCAGGTCTAGGGTTCAAAGTCATGACTGGAAAATCATCAGATCGTCTGGTTCAAAGTCGTGAACTTCGGCTAGTGTGCCGAGTACTTGCTCGTTAAGCATTGTACGAACTGATTGGCTAGTGTGCCGAGTACTTGCTTGTTAAGCATTGTACGAACCGATTGGCTAGGGTACCGGGTACCTGTTGGTTAAGGCATGTTACCAACTGGAAATACAAGTGAGGACTTGTAAGAGTGGATAGAGTTCGTGGATGGGGACTCAGATATGGTAACGACACTAGGTAGAAAAAATGTTGTGTTACAATTTGGATAAGGGCATTGGTCGGGTCAACATTGGAATGGATCGTGAGGCGTCACGAAGTTCTAATAGACGGTCTGAGAGGACGAATAGAATTCTGGAAGACAGATAAGAGCGGGAGTGCTCGATTAGGGTGGTAACTGAGAGAGTTATCTGCCTTTGGCTGGGTTGCGTAGAGCACCGTTGTGTTGAACCCAAGTGGGGGAGTGTAGTGTGACTAGCAGTGGTAAAGACTACTACTGAAAAGATAAAAAATTTAAAGGTTAAGCTGAAAGAGGCCCAAGACCGGCAAAAGAGTTATGCCGATAAGCGCCGTAAAGACTTAGAGTCAGTGTGGGCGATCTGGTTTATCTGAAGGCTATGACTTAGAAAGGGAAAAGCCGAGCATTGTTTGATGCTAAGTTGAGTCCGAGGTACATGAGATCGTACCAGATTCTGGAAAGGATTGGAGCAGTGTCGTATAAGTTAGACTTACCGCCGGAAATGAATGCGTACCACAATGTGTTTTACGTGTCACAGCTGGGAAAGCACATGACCGAACATGAAGATGTTATATCTGAACCACCTCCGGAGCTGCAAGAGGATCTAACCGTGGAAGATAGACCGATCCGTGTGGTTGGCCGGAAGGAAAAAGTTAAGCATAATAAAGTGGTCAAGATGATCAAAGTTGTCTGGGACTGTAATGGAGATGAGTAACTACTTGGGAAGTAGAGTCAAGGATGAGTACAATGTTTTTGAAATGGTTTGAGAAACTTCCGGAAGAAGTATCGGATTCGAGGACGAATCCAAACTGAGTGGGGGAGAGTTGTAGCATCCGCGACCAGAAATCCTGATTTTGGTCGAGAGGTCATGAGATGGCTGTTGTATTTATGTTTTACTCGAGTGAGGTTAGTTCGTGTCTGGTATAAATGACTGTACAGTGACTGTGTCCATGAGAAATGGACGGTATCGTGGCTACGGCCGAATGAAAATGTTTGAGCCGAGTAAATATTGTGGAAATTGTCGAGAAATTGTCTAAGTGTCGGCAGACAAAGGTGCTGGGCCGTGAGCCGTGGGTTTACTCGAGAGAAATTGGGATTATCCTAGGCTAAAAAGAATTTATCACGGTAATGGCCAAGCGGTTCGCGTTTTGGCCGAGAGAAAAGGAAAGTTTGATCGGTTTGGCCGAGAGAACTTAATTTGGACCGAGAGAAAAGTAAACCGCGTGGGATAAGTCTTGACCAGCCGGTTTATCCTTAGGGTTTCCTGTATATAAGTGAGATTTGGTGGATTTCTCACGGTAGCCGCATCTGTTCTTGAGAGAAAACCCAAGAGAAAGAGGAGAATGCGATTTCTCTCGAGAAGAAAGTTGGAGAAGTGTAAACATCTTGCCGATCCATTTAGTCTTCTTAATCCATTTACTGTTTGACAAAAAAAAAATCAATTTACTGCGAAATAGAGTAACTTTTAGGTTCTAAAGAGACAATAATTTCTCTTTTTAGTCTCATCGAATCGCCAAGAAAACTTTTGGGTTTCTTGAAGTGATCGGAAATGACGACTGCATCACTGTACTCACCGACCAACCCATACTTCTTCCAGCATCTTCTTTCTGGTTTCTTAAAATTTTTGAATAACATTGAAAAACCAAGTGTTATATAAAAATAAAATAAAATATCCAAATTTTTTTTTGATTGAATTAGAATAAAAAATATTATTTAACATTCACGTATTATCTAGTCAATAATAAAAAAAAACTCTTCGCTTTCTTTGAATGGTTTGAATGATAATATTATGAACATTAATTGAATTGTTTTAAAAAATTCTATTTTTAAATTAAAGACAATTGTTTTTAAAAATAATTACTGGAAAACCCAAATATTTACTGGCACATTAATTGAAAAATAAATAAATTAAAGAGAATGGCATGTGTCATTTATACGTTTTACTTTTTTTTTAATCAGATATTTTAAATTCGTAAAAATAAATTGAAAACAAAATCGTATAATCTATATGAAAAAAATAATCGTATAATCTATAAGAAAAAAATAAAATTTAATTTTATTAATATTTCCAAATATATATGCTTTAATAGTTTTATATTAATTATGTTTACTTCTAATGTCATATATATATAGATATAATTATTTATTCAAAATTTTAACGAATTATTTATCCTACTTTTTCATAATTAATATATATATTAGGATCCAAGAGTTATATAAAAATAAAAATAAAATATCCAAATTTTCTTTTGATTGAATTAGAATAAAAATTGTTATTTAATATTCACGTATTATCTACCGCATATAAAGACTACGGTTACAGTAGCAGGAGAGAAGTTAATTTATTCATCCGAAGAAGCTGAAAGGGAAAGGAAGTCGATATCAATGAGTATTCAAGAAAATTACGGTATCGGTGGTTCAGCAAAGAGTCATAAATAATTAGCTTAAATGCATTACTTGTGGTGGTAATATGAAGTCGAATAAAGGATTATTCAAATTTATTGTGTTATTACTTTATTGCGAAGTTGTCTTGGTGTTGCAAGGAGGTTGGAAAAAACCTAACAGTGATGAAGAAGAACATACACAGCGACGGTTCGTTCTACATTACCCGTGCTCACCAGAAAATGATCGACGGGCTCCTGCCGCGAGACGATAAGTGGCAGGAGAAACATTTATTCTTCAGACTCAACCAGGCTTCAATCGGGGATTTTAATTTCAGTTGCTTACTGAGTGGGATGAGTCTGTTGGTTAAAATGATTTCTGTGTTTATCAATCCGTAGCTCGATACGTTCTGTTGTGCGAGACTCTTAGTGTTGAGCCGATTTTGCTCTAATGTTTTGGATTTTTACTAATCCAGTTAATTGTTTTTTTTATCATGGTGCAGATTCTTCAAGCAGAGTTCATTTTGCCGAGGAGCGTAATTGAGGAAATTGAGTACTGTGACTCTAGTCACACTAAAATATTCCCATATCATCATTAAAATTTAGCTTCTTAACTCAAACTTGTATATCACTATTTAATGTATTTTGTCAACGGCTAACTCTTTTGGTTTTGCTAACTCTTGTGGATCGGTTATGCTACTTTGTTAGTATTTCTTTAGTTTATACTTGATATCTGCTAGATAATCTCTCCTAATTAGTGGATTAAACTATCAATGCCGCAAAAGTGCACATTTGTCGTCTCTTGCACTAACAGAGACTCGGTTTTATAATGGTCCCCTCTACTTTGGCTTTCTACTGAGTACTAAACTATTGATGCTACAAAAGTGGATATTTGTCTTCTCTTGCTGCACTAATAGAAACTCGGTTTTATAATGGTCTCTCTCTACTTTTGATTATTTTTTCAATTTTGCTTTTTCCAAAATGTCATATAATACAAAAGAGTATTACACTGATTAATAATATGATCTGATTGCCGACCCAAAAAAAAGGAACACTAAGGAAGCTTTATTATTCGAATTTCCAAGTTTAGTTTGAACAAAGCTTCCTTATACAAAACCATTGCCTTTCTGCAGTTTCCTCTCGTTTCTAGCATACTTAAATCACAAAATTAGTCTTCTTCCTATACAAAATCACCATTACAATCTACAACAATCTAAAGGTTGACGAGTAAGGACTCCAGCTTGAAACCACTCCTAGTAGCATTGGACCGTAGGCGCCTTGCATATAAGAACCAGGAAAAAGAGTTCTCAAGCTATTGAAAGGACCTCCATACTGGTCAAGCATAAGAGGCTGCACCGATGGATAAAACTGAGGTGGAGATGCTGGTGGTGGTGGAACTGTTGTACCACCAAGCTGAGGATCATGAAATTTACAGGTTATACCAAATTTGCATAGCCCTTTCAAATAAGGAGAATTCGTTTACAAAAGAAGGAATGAAGGAAACAAGACTTACAGCTGCATTCTTTAGAGAAACGTGGCTCATGGATCCAGCTGCATTCTTTGGATGGTGGAATTTGCATGATTCCCCAAATTTACAGGTTCCTGTCTTCAAATAAAACTGCAAGCATAACCGGAATTTTACAATTGATAATCACTAAAAAAAAATCCCTATAGAAGGTTTTACAAATAAAACATGACACCTTTTTCTTTCGAGGTACCTGGCATGGCGGTTCACCAATACGTTCTGGATGCAACCTGCGAAATGCTTCAACATACATCAACGCAAAAATCTAAGACAAATGACAAGCTTTTACAAATCAAACCATATTCTCAGCAATATTTAGAACATCGAACGAAAAAAAGAAAGATAAACTCAAGCTTTTATTATCAGACACCGGTTCGTAGCTTATTATCAGACACTATTACCGTAGCACAATCGAGCGGATGATTGTAACGGCATCTATTGCCGAAACCACAGACACCGGTTCGCATGTAGTAGGCACAGTCAGGCGCACCTGGCCTCACTGGATACGTCTTACCACCAAACCCTAATCGCCACATAAATTCTGCAGATTAAGATTAAAAATTTCAGAATCAAGACGCGAGTAGAGAAAACAAAATAAGCTTGTTGCATACTTCTCCTTTTCTGGCTGAGTCACTAACATTGGTGAGGAAATCGCAAAGAACGGTCTTGTAGATAACCAATTCGATAGGTTATAATTGGAGACAGATTCGTTTTATGGGATACTAAAAGTATTCGGATCCGAAAAAATCTCAGAATTCAAACTATGTTTTTGTAATTAAAATTTGAGGATTCATATGAAGGGAGTTTCGTTTATCAAAAAAAAAAAAAAAAAAAAAGAGAGAACGGAGTTTTGGGTGAATCGGAGCAAGAGAGAAGAAAGTAGAAGGTTTACCTTCGAGTCCGGGGTGCCATTCGGGAGCAGATTGGGACCTTGAGCAGTTTTGGAGCATCATCGAGACATCCATTGAAGCTACAAATTACCCTTTTTAGGGATTTCGTGTACTGGATTGACTTCTGTCTCCCCTCTTTTACTTTACTCTTTTGAAAGAAAGTGATTGATTTTTTCCCAAAAAAAAAGTGATTGACTTTCTTTTGCCTTTATAAAAAATTTCTCTAAAAAAGAAACAAAAAAAGTGGTTGGAAACATTGCTGACAGTCGAAGTGGTTAAGAAAAAAAGTGGTTAAGAAAAAAAATTTAAAACCCGTTAAAATATTTTTAAAAAAATATAAAACAAAAAAGCGAAGAGTTGAACCAGCTCTAAATAATGATTAAAAATATCTGATTAAAAACCTGCATATATACGGATCTTATTCTAGTTTAGAATAATAAAAAATAATATGAGAAACATAAAAAGCTTTTTGAATAAGTTTTGGAATAGATATGGAAATCGTGTGGTATGCTGCTGTATATATGCGGGTTAGCAACATTGTTGCTGCTGTAAGACAGGTTTCGGTTCTTGTAGTTGTTGTACCTATTGTAACCATTCTCACCATCTAAATAGTTAACCTCTTCAAGTTAAACATTCTTTTCTTCTTGGTTCTGCACAAACTCACTAACAAAGTGGATCTCCTTCTGTTGAACCTAAAGCAGCTTATCAAGTTTCTCATTGAGAGTTTTAATCTCCTTCCTGTTGTAGTCCAGCTCCTCTTTGGGTTTTCTTGGAGTCCTGTCAAGATCCTTTCCATGTTGGCCATCACTTTGAGCCAAGTTCTCAACCAGCTTCATACCATGCTCAACATCCTTCCCAAGGGAGTTTCCATTACTAGCAGTGTCAAGGAGCATCCTAATCTTCGGGAGGAATCCTCTGTAAAGTGTAGAAAGCAAAGATTTATTTGAGAATCCATGATGTGGGCATTGAAGAATGTACCCTTTGAATCTCTCCCAAGCCTCACAAAAGGTCTCTCGAGAGCCTTGGGTAAAGCTAGAGATCAAGTTTCGCAGCTTTGCAGTCCTTGATGTTAAGAAGAATTTTGCTAGGAAAGCTTATTTGCACTGATCCCAAGAGGTGATAGAGCTCTGAGGTAATGTTTTCTCCCGAAGGTGAGTCTTGTCTCCTAAAGAGAATGGGAAGAGCCTTAGCTTGAAACCATCTTCAGATACACAATTTATCTTTGTCATTGAACAGATCCTATCGAATTGATCAAGATGGTCCAAAGGATCGTCCAAAGTAAACCATGGAATTTGTTGCCTTAAACCATAGATATCAAGCTTCCTTTTATCTCAAAATTATTGTTTGCCACATGTGGAGGAGTGATACCAAGTCTTGTATCGTGTGTGTTAGGGGCATCTATTGTGCCAATCACTCTTGCGGCTCTTAGAGAGTGGACAATGGAACTCTTCCCATTGGTCCTTGAGCTCCAACCAAACCATGAACTCCTTGTGATCCTTGGACTCCCTGCAGACCTTGGTTACCTTGTGCACCTTGGTTTCCTTGTACACCTTGAGCATTCATGGTTGCATGTGGGTCATTTATGATGATGTTCCTTGCTCTGTTCTTCTCCCAACTCTATCAATGTTGTCCAACAGAGGTACTAGATGATCAGAGCCTTTAGACCTCAAGTGCACACACCTGAAATGGCAAAGATAAAAGTAAATCACAATTTCAATGATAAAACAATTCTTGGCAACAACGCCAAATTGATACAAGAATTTATACACTCTTTTGACTCAATTACTAAAGTCATGTGATCATGTCATTGCAGTACTTAAGGTGTCAATCCAATCAGGGATGTCAATCATTGAGAATACATGAAATCAAGTAAGCTAAGCTAAATAAAAAGTGGGTTGGTAACAAGCTAGCAACCTAATGATCAATCAACCGAATAGAAGAATATTCAACTAGATTGCAAGACAAGTAACTAAGTAAATTCAAATTCAAGAACAGAGTAAACACATAGTAAATTCGAATTGAGACAAACAGGAGTCTTAGGATGGGGTTGAAACCGAGCTCATCCACAAACGTCAAGAAGCATAGTAATACTAAAAACAAGTTCAAAGGGAAATGCCACAAGTGTAATAAGATTGGCCACAAAAATGATGTATGTCACAACAAGCCCAAGGACAACGGAAAAGCTCAAACCAACTTGACGGAAGAGGACCTGTGCGCTGTGGTCTCAAAAATCAACTTGGTGGAAGACAACCCGAAAGATTGGTGGTCAAACACTGGTGCAACGTCCCACATTTGCGCTGAAGATGCAATGTTCATGACCTACTAGAAGAGTAAATCGACCGAACAGCTGTTCGTCGGGAATTCCGCAAGTCAATGATTCATGTCGAATCACTTTGACAGAAAATGTTTAAAAAATGGCAAATGTAGATGAACTTCTTCTTGACGAATATGAAGTTTGATAAGTTTCTGAAGGAGGACCCATCAGTTCATCCAGAAGGAAACACATGTGCCTACACTCTTGCAATTGTTAAGGCCTGGACCCATGGGGATTTTGTATACAGAGGCTTGATTTTAGGCCACCTTAGTAACCAGATGTACCTCGTCTACAGTAAGGAAAAATCTTCTAAGGCATTGTGGATGACCTTAGAGAAGAAGTACAAATCAGAAGACAGTTGCAAAATTTCTCTACTTCAAAATGGTGGATTCCAAGTGGACCATTGATCAAGTGGATGCACTCCAGTTGATTTGCCATGACATAGCTGCTGGGGGAATGTCAATCTCCGGGACCTTCACCGTTAACAGCTTCATCGAGAAGTTACCTCCGGGTTGGGTGGATTTAAAGAACTACCTCATGCATAAGAGGAAGGCGATGTCTCTCGAAGAAATCATCACCAGGCTGAAAATGGAAGACAGAAATTGTAAGGCAAACAGATTACAATTCAAGGAGCACAACATGAATGTAGAAAACCACAAGGCCAAATGAAAGGGCAAGGCTGTGGCTATGGCAACGACATCCCCTTTGAAACCGAGCTTCTCCACAAACGTCAAGAAGCGCAGTAAGGCTGAAAAGAAGTTCAAAGGGAAATGCCACAAGTATAACAAGATTGGCCACAAAAATGATGTGTGTCGCAGCAAGCCCAAGGAAAATGGTAAAGCTCAAGCAAATTTGACGGAAGAGGACCTGTGCGCTGTAGTCTCAGAAATCAACATGGTGGAAGATAACCCGAAAGAGTGGTGGTCCGACGCTGGTACAACGTCCCATATTTAGGCTGAACGTAAAATGTTCAGCACCTACCAGAAGAGTAAATCGACCAAACAGCTGTTCATGGGGAATTCTGCGAGTCAAGGACTCATGTCGGATCACTTTGACGGATAAGGTTTTAAAACATGGCAAATGAAGATACACTTCTTCTAGCAAAAATGAAGTTTGATAAGTTTCTGAACACCAGTCAATCTAGAAGGAAACACATGTGCCTACACTCTCGCAATTGTTAAAGCATGTCCCCATGAAGATTTTGTATATAGAGGCTAGATCTTAGGCCACCTTAGTAACCAGCTGTACCTTGTCCACAGTAAGGAAAAATCCTCCAAGGCATTGTGGATGGCTCTAGAGAAAAAGTACAAATCAGAAGATAGTTGCAAAATTTCTCGACTTCAAAATGGTGGATTCCAAGCCGATCATGGATCAAGTGGAGGCGCTCCTATTGATTTTCCATGACATAACTGCCGAGGGAATGTTAATCTGCGTGATCTTCATCGTGAACAGCATCATCAAGAAGTTACCTCCGTGTTAGTTGGATTTCAAGAACTACCTCAAGCATAAGAGGAAGGTGATGTCTCTCGAAGAAATCATCACCAGGCTGTAAATAAAAGACAGAAACCATAAGGCAAACGGCTTACAATTCCAGGAGCACAATGTGAATGTGGCAACCCACAAGGGAAAATGAAAGGGAAAGGCTGTAGATGTGGCAACGACATTCCTTTTGAAACCGAGCTCCTCCACAAATGTCAAGAAGCGCAGTAATGCTGAAAAGAAGTTCAAAGGAAAATGCCACAAGTGTAACAAGATTGGCCATAAGAATGATGTGTGTCACAGCAAGACTAAGGGCTATGGGAAAGCTCAAGCCAACTTGACAGAAGAAGGACCTGTGCGCTGTGGTCTCGAAATCAATATGGTGGAAGACAACCCGAAAGAGTGGTGGTACGACACTGGTGCAACGTCCCATATTTGCGCTGAACGTGAAATTTTCAGCACCTACCAGAAGAGTAAATCGACATAGCAGTTGTTCATGGGGAACTCTGCATTCTCCAAGATCGTTGGTCGTGGAAAATTTGTGCTGAAGATGACCTCGAGACAGGAACTCACTCTTCAGAATGTCAACCATGTTTCTGACATAAGGAAGATCCTGATTTCCTGCACTCTGGTGACCAAGGCCGGATTTGCTGCTAACCTTGAGTCAAACAAGCTCATGTTGAAGAAATTTGGGATGTTTATTGGCAGGGGATATGAGAAGAATGGACTAATCATGATGTGCGCCATGACAGTCCTCCGCAACAACGATGCTTCTAGCTGTAAAAATGGTGTTGCTCATAATGTTGCTTGTGTTTTGAATGTTGTTGAATCTGTTTCAAAAAATTCAAGCAAGGAGAACAATCCAGTTGCTTATTTGCTTGAGTTGTTTAATATTTGACATGAAACATTATGATATGTGAATTATAAATCTATAAAAAGATTAATGAACTAAACCTAATCCTGAAATGAAAAACCAGCAAAGAAAAATGTGAAGTGTGCATATAGGCTAAACTCATAAAAACGCTATCACCTCAAGCTGAAATAACAACTGAACCTTTAGGTTTAATACATACAGATTTATGAACTTTAAAATATGCACCAACTAGAGACGGTAAAAAAATATTATGTAACGTTCATAGAAGATCGTACGAAATATTGTTATGTATATTTGTTACGTAGTAAAAATGAAACTTTGGAAAAATTAAAGGAATATAAGTGCAAAGTGGAAAATCAACTTAATAAAACTATTAAAATAGTTAGAAGTGATAATGGAGGTGAATATGATGGACCGTATAATGTCTTTTGTCGAGAACATGAGATTATCCATCAAACCACCGCTCCTTACTCACCGGAATCCAACAAAGTTGCGGAACTATAT